GCTAGTGACTCTGGGCAGCTAACAATAAAAACAATCAATATTAAAAACAGTACAAAAAATAAATATAATATAGATGCAGCCAAGAGATCTTAAAAAAACCATTGATGTCAACACAACCATGAAACGGGGCCCTTCACACACTCGGGGCCCCAGTCCAGGCACAAAGCCAGGTCTTCAAGGCCTTCTGAAAAGCCGAAAGGATGGGGGCCATCCTAATCTCAGGAGGGAAGATGTTCCAGAGGGCAGGCACCACAGCAGAAGAGGCACGTCTCCTGGTCCCTGCCAGCCGACATTCCTTGGCTGACAGGACCCGGAGCGTGCCCAGCCTGCCGGACTGGATTGGATGGGTGGAAAGACACTCAATCAAAAAAACTTTGATTGTAAGATACTAAGACCCTTCAGTTCCTGAATTTCAATTCCCATCAACTCCAGAGAGCATGGCCAACATTCAGGAATGAGAGGAGTTGTGATCAGATTCTCCAACCCTGATCTTTCTTCACTGCATTAGTATTCCTGAGGGGAAAAACCAGACACGCAATTTGTTACTTTCAGATCCCTGTGTGAATTTAAAATTTCTGTACAGCCATTCTGTAAGTTCAGGGAAGGCATTATATAAAAGTATTAACTTCATTCATACAGTATCTATTGACTCAATTAAAACGGCGAGAATTAATACCTAAGTGACAATCCAAACCACACCCTTTTCTCACAAGTCCACTTCCCTTTAAGTTTTCAGGAAGTGAAGCCCACCAAGCAAAAAGGATATAAAAAAGTGAAGGTAGGTTGGCTTACTATTTAGCGGAGTCGGAGAGCTGATATTCTCGCCGCCGGTCGTAACATTCTTGGATTCCTGGGTCATTCCACAATGTTTTAATGGCACTTACATAGGGTTGTTCGAAGGATGAAACCTTTTCTACGTCCACCTCCCGGATCAGTAGTGCATTGGCCTTCATTCAGGATGAGAGGAGAAAGCAAATTTGGTGTCAAAGGCGTACCGAGATCTTACTCCCCTCCCTCAGCAGGAATTGCCTTTTCCCATCCTGCTGGAGCTGCATTCTAACAACAGGAACAGAGCAGGAGGAGCCAGAGCAAAATTCAACTGGCAGTCAATCATTTCTGTCCATAAAAAATACCCTTTCCCCTAGACCCGTGAGGTATTCACCACCCAATAATGTACTACACTAGCACCCAACAAGGTGGGATAAAAGAGATAAAATAACTGTGGTACGCTGCCCAGAGTCGCTTTGTGTGAGATGGGTGGCTATATAAATGTGACATATAAACAAACAAACAAACAAACAAACAAGGTTTCTGTCTCACTACCTAGGGACAGATATATTTTGGTTCCTACAAAACAAAAGCCAACTTCTGAGTCTAGTTTGCACTGTACAACTCTGCCCCTTGAGGTCTCTGAATTATGGAATCTGCACAGCACACCTCTGTAGTCAGGACAGAGAAATGCAGAAGGCCCTGTAGAGATAGGCCTCACCTTATTTTGCTCATACTTGTATAGGATCTTTAAGGTCTCCATAGCCCTGATCATTGACTGCATGGCAGTGAAGATATTCTGGTACACCAGTTTGGTGAAACCCTTTTTATCCTCTTCAGAATAGCCCGAGCCATGGATTATCCGCATCTGTTTAATGAACGTGCTTTTCCCACTCTCTCCTGTGCCTGAAAAAGAAATATGGGACAGGACAGGATAAAATAGGTTTTTCTTTAAAAAAAAAAAAACTTTAAATGGATGTTTTATTTCCTCTTCCTTTATTTTCTGGCAAGAATTTTCATGTTACAATTTGTTTTAAAAGCCAGCCAGATAACACAGTTATAAAGCAGCCTACAAATCCTTGTAAATAAAATGGTAAGCTTATAGTAGAAGCTGGCACTTCTTTAGAAAACAGGAGAAAAGTTAATTCTATGTTACATTTCTAACAGTAAAAGAGACACAGAGTAGACCCTTCAGTGGATGGACTAACAACTTCTGTCACCTTTCAAATTGCCCCACCCTGTAGTGAAAAGCTGCTGTTATGCATTTTCTTCATTGAGAGAAGAGAGTGAGAATGAAAAAGCAAAACAACATTTGTAAGCGATCACGGAGACATGATCAGTTTTTATATTACTTCTGTGATAGAAGAAAGGCATTTTGCACATGCACTGAGGCACAATGGGATCTTGGGATCAAGTGCTGCCACTGAAACTAGTTCGGGGACCTAGAACTAATGTTTCACTTGTTTGATTCCTGGATGCATTTATAAAACTTGGGCAAATTACGGGCTCTCACACATCATTAATATGATAAATGATAAGTAATCAAATCACTTGATCACTTTTCCCAGTTGCTCAGTTCAAAATATACTTAAAACAACTTTCTTCCAAACCACCTGACTGACCTGTCAAAAATCAGCTCTTCCTGGCTAATTCAAAGATTTGAGTTTCTTTTGGTTTCTCAAAGATGGAAACCATATTTTAATTGAGATTAACAGCGCAGTGGAACATCTGAAATACACTATGTGACAATTTTTTCTTCAAAATGGAAGCTTTTAAGAAGCATGCTTATTATATTTCTGGCATGATCCAGGGCTGTTAATTGCTGTTAAAAAGGCCAGCTTAAATAAGTGTGCAGAAAATGATTTGATATACTGGCTAACAGTGCAATCCTCAATTTTAATTTCATCTCAAAGTTTATCCAGAAAGGCATAGCCATTGTACACATCAGAGATTAGTCATCTGGGGGAGGGAGGGAGGGAGACTCTTCCAAGCCTCTTGCCTAGAATCCCCTCCTTTGGAATATTTTATTTTTCTCTAGCTATTTGCAAAAGACCCAACATCACCTGGCACCTTCACTCTGGCATGTTTTGGCTCCTAGTCACACCTTATTCCCTGAGTCAGTCAGGTGACAAGTCTACCTATAAGGCCTGGAAAATTAGCCTGCCTTGGGCCAGCCTTCTAATTGTGCTTGCCGTAAGAAAGGAGGGGCTGCAACATTCTACTGATTCACGTATCTAATTCTTTACTCAAACATTTTTGACACTGATTTTTCTTCTTCTCATTCAGACAGTGGGTGTTTTGGATGAAACTCTAAACCATAGTTTAGCATTACAAGAATTTTGTGAAGAACATGCACACTTATTTTCAGGTGCTAATGTGAGTAGTTTAAATGAAGTCAGTATGCTCTCATTTTATTTTAGGTATTTATATTTTGCTTCTCAATAATACTCTGAATATTTAAAGCATTTCTTTCACATCCAGCTTACACTCCCTGACCTTATTATTTAAGCTCTGCATTGCTGGCCTATCTTTCAGAATTTTCTCTTTCTTTCCTGATCAAAACCTCTGCTCTTCCAACTTTACTATGCTACACAAAGCCTGGGTAGCCTTCAATCCCATGCTAAAAAGGAAGGTTTGGCAGCATGCCTACTTCAGCATTATCATGGCCTACTCAAAACCTTTTCTAACAGTGAGGCAGAATGAGAGAATGATAGAGAGATTCTGTATTATCTGAACTGAAACCCTTTGAAAACAGCTGTGTCCTTTCACGTATAAAGATATTTCTATTCCACCTCAGTCAAAAGCTCCTGGTTGGCTAATAAATACGTTCACAAATTTTACTAGAATGGCAAGGCTTTGAGTGGCCCAGTAAATCCAATATATATATGTATGTATGGCTGGAAAATATTTTCAAATCCCATGATCCAGTATTAAAATTTTAGGAGGCAGTATCTTCTTCCCCATATCTCTCCTCACAACTATACATTCTTGTGTAAGATTGAATAATTTTGAATAACCACTAGATGCCAGCACCAAACCTTATGAAGGCTGTTCTCTCCAGGGCAGTATTAAATTGGCAAGATACCTAGAACTCCTGCCACTAATTTCAGTTACTACATTATGACAGGACAAATATGGCCAAAGTAAATGGTAACAAACAAGGCCTGTAGATGCACAGTCTTTAGACTTTTCCTCAGGTACAAGAGGAGCCATAATGCTCAGCATTGGCCTCTGACTGGCAGGAAATATGAGGTTTCTGGACTATCTAGATCTGGTATAAATACTAGGAACCCAGCTTTTAATCCCACTGTGATTAATAGAGCAATTCTTCCTGCCTCACCCAACTAAAACACCAGCCAGCAACTGATTGCATGGATCCTGGACTGGACAAGATCCACACCAGGTTCCCTCTGCCAACCTGCTTCCTCTCTAGAAAATAGAGCCAACAACTTTGGGATATGTTTACATGACTTCACCAATTTTCTTCCTATGCAAATAGAAGATAACGCTTCTAAAGGAAACACACCAACACTACTTTATATGAGTACTCAGTTTTTTGGCAGGGCAAGAGTGAATGGTAAGAATTAGAAGCATACACTGCATTAAAAAAAATTGCTCACAGAATAATGAGCAAATTTTTGCTTTGGCAAACAGAAGACAGCCCAATTAGAAAGGCCTATTCATTTCCTTCTCACGCACACACATTCAACAGTGACAAGTCAGGACTTGGGAAAAAGATTTCTTTTAAAAAAATGATGACATTTTAAGGATTCCCCAGCAGACTGTAGCTGGGGAGGGAATCCATGCACATCATTACTTCCTCCAGATGATGCTACTGCTCAGATAGTGATAGAGTGGCACCACCGAGAGATTTACTCATAAGCATAAAAATTTGGACACATTCAATAGAGTGACCAGCAGCATGGAGTTTTGAATGTTTTTCATAACCATAATGAGTCTAATATCTGACTTCTTATATTCAGTAAACAAAGCCAAGATAGTGTAGTATATTTTATTAACAATTCTCAATAGTTAAATGTAATTATTTTTAAATAATTAGAAATAAAGCAGATTTTATCAATATGGCTTAAGCGTTATATGCAAAAATCATTTTTTTAAAAATTAGAAATAATTTCTATTGGAATATTTACAAACTCAATCATCGGTGCCCAAAAATTAAAAAAGAAAATTGCCCAAATCTTGCCAAGATTTTAGCAATTTCACTCCTGGTTTCACAACATTTCAGAGTTCTTGCCTGAAGTTTTGTGAGATTTCAGTCAAGAAAACCAAAACTACGCAACTCTTCAGCCACTTTTAAAAGTAATTTATGGATGTCTCCTAAAGGTGTTGCAGGTACTACATTGCCTAACCAATTTTTTATTTTATTTAGAACTTAAAACACTGAAAATAGTTGAAAACAGATTTTGTATAACATTTCTCCTGAAGGTAACCTAAATAAGGCTTTTTTTAATTAACTGGACAAGACATACCATCTTACAAGAAATGCTTCACTCAGCCAACCTAGAAATTCCATGTAGAGATGAACATCCTAACAAATGGGGACCACAGTGCTCTACCTCCCGTTTGGGTAGTTAGAAGCCTTGTTTTAGCTCACTCGCTAAGAATCCAGCAGCCTGCATTTCCATGTCACTATCTCTGAGGATTCACATAAACAATTCTTAAGGCCAGTAATCATTGTAAACTTACTTATAAGGATTTAATCATATATCCATTCTAATTGTCAGATCAGAATATTTCCAGTATATTACTAGCTTTATGAAAAAAATGCATTTTTTAAAACATGGACATTATTCCCTAACAAAACAGAACCATGTTTTCTATCACAACTGAGCAAAGATACTTTCCTTTCCATCTAAGGGTTACTATCAACTAAATGCAATCATGGGGATAAGGAGGAAGAAGAAAAAAAAAAAAAGGAGTGCCAGAGACCACAGAATATTCTAACACAATATGGGTGCAAGAAATCATGTACACTCAGAAGACAAGTCTGAGGGGACTTCCGTGGCTAGCAATAGCAACAAAGTAGTAGTACAGGGATTTACAGTTACTGTCAAAGTTTTAGAGAAACACCTAACAGTATCCACCCATCAGTGTGTCTATGTAATCTTAAGAAATGCAAACAAACATCATACAGAAAAAAGATCCACTTTATGGAGTATTTAAGACAACAGGGTATTCAATTAACCTTTTGCCAGCTTGCTTCCAATTAGCCCTCCTCCATAATCTAACAAGCTACTCCAAAAAATATTCTCTGCAAAACTGTTTTGTAGCCAGCTGCCTTGATTATATGGGACCAATTTTTTAATAAAGTGCCCTTGCCTTGGAGGCTGCAAGGAATTCCTATATCTCCGAGGTGATGGAGAAGGGATTATTCACTGCCTGCTACTTCATATTCCACTGTTTATGTTGCTTGCCATAAAACCCAAGCTGAATTCAGCATACCAATAACTATGTCTACAACTTATAGTACACACACAGAATCAGATACTTATCAAAGTAAGTATATTTCAAAAGTAATGTTCATTATTGGTATTCCTTTTTTTTAACTGAACATTTCCTCTGAATCCATCCATATAAAATAACACAGTAATAGGAATGCTACATCATACTACATAGCAATAACTAATTCCAAAAGATTTTCTTTAATGGTTATTACTAGAGGTAGAAGAAACACCACAACCATTTGGATGAGGGCGGATGTCTAGCAAGAAACAGTGTGGAACCAAAGAAATAAGAACTCAAAGTTTAGTTGGTGGGGAAGATTGATTAATAATGATATAAAAGATGTGTACTATATCTGGAGGTCCCCGACCATATCATTCATAATACAACCAAGACCCACATTTCAAAATCTCTCTTTTCATAAGAAAAATTACCATG